ATTTTTAAAAAATAAATGATAGCAGAATGCATTACAACTCTTATTACACCCATACAGCACAATTTTTCATATCTCTGGTTGTATATAAAATATGTTGACACCAATTTGTTTCTTCATACATATACTTTGGATAATGATGTCCATCACATTCTACCATCCTTGCTAACCCCCTGCCCCCTCCCTTTCCCTCCCACCCCTTTGCCCTATCTAGAGTTCATCTATTCCTCCCATGCTCCCACTCCCTACCGTACTATGTTGTTTTTCTCAGGTATTTTGTCACAGTGAGGAAAAGCTCACATAGCAGATAATGCATCTCTTCTCAAAAACATGCCTATTTTCTCTTGGCCAGCTATCTTCCAGCTCAGTTAAACAGGTGATGGCTTCAACAAGAAGCCATCTTGAATACAACATATTTCAAAGCATATATAAGGTATGTTTTGAGGTAAACTTAAACATTTCTTTCCTCTTCCATTCAAGACTCAAAGTTTTATTTTTATAGTGTTTTTACAGTCCTATTTTACACTAATATAGAACATGAAAAGAAGTATAATGACACTTGTATCTTAAGGACAACTCAGACACTAATCAATTAACTTTTCGACTTTATTTTTTGCTCTCCAACTTTGGGCTCAGTCTCTATGAGATGAAGGGTTTAGATTAGAGAAAACAACCTAATTCCAAAATTCTATTTTTCTTTTAATATAAATATAAATTGGACCTTCAGAGGTATATTTATAAATATTGTTTTAATAAAAACTATTCAGGGGCTGGGGATGTGGCTCAAGCGGTAGCGCGCTCGCCTGGCATGCGTGCGGCACTGGGTTCAATCCTCAGCACCACATACAAATAAAGATGTTGTGTCCGCAGAAAACTAAAAATAAATATTAAAATATTTTAAAAAATAAAAATAAAAACTATTCAGTATTACAAATTGACTAGATTAACAAAAAGATGACTCATAAGAAAGGGCATATTAAATGTCAAGAAAACCCAAATTTAAATCCAAGCTCTGTTGCTTGTTCTTTTAAATCATATTAAGCACCTACAATGTGCCAGGTATTTTTAAGCATTTTGAACACAAGAATATGAAAGATAAGCCCCTACTATTATGGTACTTACATTCTAGTGAGAGTGTTGAGAGCCACAGCCGAAGGGGCCCCAGCAAACTTCCAGCTGCCGGCTGATGATTGGCTCACAGCAGCCCCAGCAACATCTAGCTGATTGGCTCCTCTGCGGTGATGCTCATTGGGCTGTTTCCCTGCCCCTTCAGACACGGAGCTGCTCATTGGGGGACTTTTTTGGCTCTGCCCACATGACCCAGCCAATCGGCCTCAAGAGCAGGAGGATTGTGGGAGGTGGAGAGAAGCTTGTGTGGGAGAGAGAGCCTTGTGGAAAGCCGGTGGTGGCAGTTGAGGCTCTGAGGGTTTTTCCTGAGAGGCTGTTTTGTTTGGCGTGTGTGGTTCTAAAAATAAAGTTAGTTTCTTTTGACAAGTGGCTCCTGATTGTGCCCAGCCAGACTGAGGCATTTTTTTTTTTTTTTTGGGAAAGAACTTTTTTTTTTTTTAATAGAAATGATTCTAAATTTTGTGACATTGTGTTGCTTTTCTATACAACTCTGTGGTATACATATTTAATACATGATAGGGAACATCTTTGAAATACAGTGGGTACTTAAATATACATTAGATGAAAGAATGAGACTTTTCTTCTTCACCTGGATTTTATGTGATAAGCAGGGCATGTATGATAGTCTGGGCATGCTGTTTTCTGCCTGTCCTTGTAAGTCATACCATTTTACCTTCAGTGGTTCTGCCTGACTACCTAAGGCACCCATTAATTTTCTGCCAGTCTCATACCCTTCCCTCTGACATTTAGAATAGGTATAATAATAATTTTCAAGGTACAACAGCAAACTTGCTCCCATTAAAATGTAATCTAATCTATACTTTAGAATTATCAGCCTTTTGTCTTCCATGAAATAGAAAGTTTTACCCATTTGTTCATCCTGGAAGAGGGGATGTGGCTCAAGTGGTAGTGCGCACGCCTGGCATGCGTGGGGCGCTGGGTTCGATCCTCAGCACCACATAAAAATAAAATAAAGATGTTGTGTAATTCTAGTGAGAGAAGACAGGCAATAAATAGTAAATAAAAACAATAAGTGCTTGTGGCAGACAAAATTTTAAATGGTCCCTAGATCCCCACCCTTAAGGCACATACACTTTCTCCCGGTTAACTCAATCAAACTCTAGTGCTATGGTGAAGGGATTCTGAAGGTGTAATTAAAATCTCAAATCAGGTGACTTTAAGAAAGATTATCTTCAGTGTGCCTGTCTTGCCAGGTGAGTCGTTAACTGAGACTGAGCTCTTCCTGGCCAGAAAGATTTGAAGCATGAGAGGAATTTTCTGAGGGGGGAGCTCTTCACTTTTGGCTTTGTTGATGGGAGGGGGTCATGTAGCAAGGGTTATAAGTGTCCTCTGGAAGCTGAGGAACTGAGTCCCTCTATAATCATGTCAGTCTGGAAAAGAACTCTGAACCCAAAATGAGAACACAGCCTGGCTACTACCTTGATTTTAGCTTTGTGAGAACCTGAGCTGAGGTCCTAGCCATGCTGTGACCACATTTCTGACCTGGAGAACTCTGAGCTAATTAATGGGTATTGTTTATTAGCTCCAACTTTGGGCTCAGTCTCTATGAGGTGAAAGGTTTAAATTAGCAAAAACAACCTAATTCCAAATGCTATTTTTCTTTTAATATAAATTGGATCTTTAAAGGCATATTTATAAATTTTGTTTTAATAAAAACTATTCAGTATTTCAAATTGAAATAAGCTACTAAACTTCTGGTAATTTGTTACATGGCATTAAAAAACAAGAATAGCATCACAGAGGGTGAGAGGATAGAATGCCTTAAGGACTGCTGTGAATTAAGGGACCAAGTGACATTTAACCTGCAACCTAAACAAAAAATAGCAAGCTGTACAAAAAATGGAGAGGAGCATTTAGGAAAGATGAAATTGTGGGAGCAAAGACATCAAGATGTGTTAAAGAAAGAAAGAACGTGGCGGAAGCACAGTAAATGCATAGCTATGTGTAACAAGGTATGAAAGACAACTCGGAGTCTGTGATCACCCAGGATTTTTAAGCACAGCTAAGGAGCTAGATTTACTCTAAGTGTGAAGAGAGGACCTGGGTGCCAGACATAGACCCATTTGGCTAGTGTGTGAAAAACATTCCACTCAGGTTGAAAGCAGGAAAATCAGGCAGAAGCCTATGGCAGGTGTCAGGGGACAGTTGGTGGTGGGCTGGATAACACTAGGGCCAGTGGGAAGAGGGCTAAGTAGGAAGAGTTAAGGTATGTTTTGGAGGTAAACTTGATCATGTAGTTGCTGATTCAACTATAATTCTCACATTTAAGTATAACTAAATCCACAATTCCTATCTGAAACATTCAATGCAATTCTTAAAACATGTTTATACAACACACTGTAAAGGAACATAGCAAGTTTCCATAGAAATTTCTATTATGTTCTCACAAAGAATTGGTGACAATCTTTACACAGCATATAAAGAATAGTCTCAAGATAGCTTTCGGTGTGTCCTACCTATTCTTTTCCTATAAGGACAATGAAAATAACTGATGGTTATTCCCAGGTACCACACAATATTCTAAGATACACACATGCACACACATGTATACAGACATACACACTCACACATCTTTAATCTTCATTATCTTGTGAAGAAACAAGGAAATGACAGTTTTTGAGTTAGTCTGCTGAACTAAAAAATGTTTGTCTAATGCTACAGCTCAATCTATCTTGAGTGCTCAGTAACACAGGCTTCCTGTAGTTTTAAGGGTTTATTAAAGAGTCTGCTTTTGGCAGATTTAGACACCCTACTTGGTTGAAGTCTCATTTGAAAAGAGAACCCCAATATACACAGAGTCACAAAATAGTGTAATGCCATTTATCATCTGCCCAACAGTAGCTTGGGAAGTTATTATCTAACGTACAATGAGTCGATTACACACGTGCAAAACTAAGAAGAACAAGACAGCATATTGCTGGTAGTCAAATGCAAGGTGAACAGTGGCAGGTGGAAAAGCTTGGACTTCACCCTGCAGCTAACAAATACTTATCAAAGGCTTTTAAAAAGTAAAATAATGTTAGATCACTGTAGTAGCAAGGCAAAATCTTGATCTGACTTGGTTGAGATAACAGGCACACCAGTCAGAAGGAACTGGAATTCTAGATGCAGTAACATCTAAAAGATCTGCCCACTGGATATGGGCCCTCAAGGGAATTTGTGATTTCAACTTAAGTGTGTCAGTGAGTGCTGATGCCCCAACTGAGGAGAAAAAAAAAAAAGAAAAAAATTTTTTTTTGGTACTGAAGATTGAACCCAGAGGTGCTTTACCACTGAGCTACATCCCTAGCCCTTTTTATTCTGAGACAAGGTCTTGGTAAGTTGCTTAGGGCCTCACTAAGTTGCTGAGGCTGTGATTCTTCTGCCTCAGCCTCCAGAGTCACTGCGATTACAAGTGTGCACTATCACGCCTGGCTATAAAAAATTTTTCATTTTCTATAAAACAAGCCTGGAAAATTCAGACCCATCAAGCCCTAAAATTTCTTTTTTGGCTATATTTCATTTTATAGATAAAACCCCTGCAAGCCATTGGCATTAAATACCTTAGAATAAGCACTAGAACTTGAACCTGAGTCTCTTGCTATCTGGTCTTGTACTCATCAAAGTACAAAAGTAAGTTTTGGGGACTGGGTATATAGATTAATGGTAGCCTAGCATGCACCGGGCCCTGGGTTCAATCCCTAGCACTCTCTTTTCCCACCAAAATATTTTCACCTCTTTGTACATAATAATAATAATTTCTATTCAGTATATTTTCTAAGCCTCTGAAATAAAACCAGACGAATTTCCTTTCTGTATAGTATTATGTTAATGATTAGGGTAGTATTTTTACAAAATAAGCTTTTGATACTCACTTCAAATTCTTTTACAAAATAACGAGTTTCACCTTGAATAACTGGTCTGTGATCCAAAAGCCTTGAATGAATTTCTCCAAGATCTAAAAATGATAAAATAAAATTTTGGGTTAATCCATGGTAAATGACATAATCTCTAGCTTGTTTTATTCTTCCCCTTCCCCACAAATAGATGAGAAAGTAGGTTAAAAATCCATTTCTGACCTTGTATTAGGAGAAAATCTCATCCACTGCCAGTTGGTACAAAATTGGTACAACTACTTTTAAAAGCAACTTGGCAATATCTAATAAAATTGAAGACATATGCATCTAACAATTTCATGCCAAGATATACATTCAAGAAAAAAATCTTGCGAAAATGAATAATCCATCTGTAATTATTTACTATGCATAGGTATACTATCAAAAGAAAAATTAAAGAGAGCATCCTAAAAACATTCACACAGTGGGATACTACAAATCAAGTAAAAAATGAATAAGTTACACATAACAACATGGATAAATCTCACTGACATAATGTTGAACAAAAAGCAAGTTTCAGAAGGATTAAATGCATTTACCCAAACTTTAAAAATATGTAAAATAATACTTCAGACACACAGAAGCAATAAAAATAAAAGACATGCAGAAGAATGATAAACACTAAATTCAGGATAGTGGTAACCTTTTCAGAGGGGGAAGTCAATGAATGTAATTAGAGAGGGGTGCACAGTGGGTCTTTTAATGATTTATTAAGGTGGGTGGTGAGTGTTCATTATAAGTATCTTTACTTTTTGGAAGGTTTGAAAAAGTGATAGTTAAGTAAGAAAGTTCTGAAGTTTCAAAGATTTTGGTGAGCCTACTCATTCTTCTTAGTAACAAATAGTTTAAGATGTAAACCACAAAATTCCTGGAGAAACTGAATATCCAAATAAAAATATGTATCATCATATTCATTTATCAGGTTAATTAGTATAGCTCTCACCTCAAACATTCAAAATCTTCTCAATTGGCTTTTCTGAAATATTCAATAGTTGTCAATTATAGTTATCCTACTGTGCTACACGACGCTAGAAGTTAGTCCTAATGTCCAATTGTATCCCTGTACTTGTTACTTGCTAATCGTTCTCTACCTTTGGAAGTCATTTTAAACAGAGAAAGCACCAGTGAAAAGTCTCAAAATGTGAAAAATAAGGCACTAGCCAGAAAGTGGAAAAAGAGACTTGCTTACAATATGACTACTGAGATAAAAAGTAGAGCATCACTTTGACCTCAGCTGGGAAACGTGCAAATCAGATGACTCAAACTCTGACATTGCAGATGAACTTGAAATCACCACCAATATTGATTTCGGAGTTACAAGTTTGTTTTAGCAATTAAGTGAATTCAATGAGGATGGCTGTAAGTAACTAAATACTATATTTAAAAAACAAATCCAACCACATGGCTCTTTATCATTGTTCTATAGTTTCCTACTATTCAAGAAAAATCTCATTTTCCTTAAAAATGTAAGAAATCCTCTATGGTATGATTTCCCCTAGCCTCACCCCTCAGTCACACTGAAATAGTATCTGTAGTTCCCAAATACACCAGCCTGTTTCAGAACTCCATGCATGGCTCATGCTGTTCCAAACTAAGTCCCAAACACTAATCCTCTTTCTTCTCAACCCCCCAACACTGCATTCTTTAAGACCCAGACCAGACACTCATCTTCCAGCAGCCTCTGCAGTTTCCCAGTCCTCTCTTCCTACTCCCAACCAATTGCTGGCAACTCTCACAGACCCAGGGCATAATATCTATTTACATATTCACTAGAATCCAGCAATAATATTCAACAAATAGCTGTTTATACCTGATAGTCTTAAAATGAGATGGACTAAAAATTGTTTTCAAGATGAAAAGGTCCCACGAGAGAAATCAAGAGGGTGGAGTGGATAGATAGCTAAGTGGTGAAGTGCTTGCTTAGCATATGCAAGGCCCAGAGTTCTATACCTATCACTGCAAAAAAATGGAGTGGGGTGTTCCTTGGAAATTTTTTTTTCTTCTCTCAACTTTTATTTATTTATTTATTTTTGTGGTGCAGGTGATTGAACCCAGGGCCTTGTGCATGTGAGGCAAGCACTCTATCAACTGAACTATATCCCCCGTCCTCAACTTTTATTTTTTATCTTTTATCCCCTGGTTTTATTTGGGTATCAATTGACATCAAAAGTTATATACATTTAAGGTATAAGAAAGTGATGACTTGATACACATACATTGTGAAATGATTACCACACTTAAGCTAATTAACACATTCACTGCTTCATACGTATAATTACTATTTTCCCCCAAAGGAGAGAGTACTTATGATTTATTGTCTTAGCAAGTTTCAAGAACACCATACAGGACTGAATTATCTTTTTTTTTTTTGGTTCTGGGAGTTGAACTCAGGGGCATTTAACCAGAGCCACATCTCCAGCCCTTTACTGTATTTTATTTATAGACAGAGTAGCACTGAGTTGCCAAGTGCCTGGCTAGTTGCTGAAGTTAGCTCTGAACTTAAGATCCTCCTGCCTCAGCCTCCTGAGCTGCTCTCAGATTACAGGTGTGCCCACCAGGCCCTGCTGAATTACCTTTTTAACAAAAAAAGTACTGCCAGGCACCGAGGTGCACACCTGTAATCCCAGTGGATCGGGAGGCTGAGTCAGGAGGATCACAAGTTCAAAGCCAGACTCAGCAACTTAGCTAGGCCCTGTCTCAAAATGAATAATAAAAAGGGTTAGGGATGTGGCCCAGTGGTTAAGCACCCCTGGCTTCAATCCCTAGTACCAAAAATAAATAAATAAATACAAATAAAAAAAAGCACTACCTCAAAGTTTAAAAACTTCTGTACTATACATCAAAGTAGACACAATCAACAAAATGAAGAACAACTGACAATATGGGACAAAATATCTGCAAACTGCTTTTCAAGGGAGTTAAGATCCAGAATACATAAAGAACTACAACTCAATAACAATAATGAAACTAACTTAATTAAAAATGAGCAAAGGACTTGAATAGACATCTCTCTAAAGAAGATACATAAATGGCAAACAAGTACATGAAAACATGCCTATGATCACTAAATATTACGGAAATGCAAACCAAAACCCCAATGAAATACCATCTTACACCTATCAGGCGTCTACTACCAAAGATAGAGTAAAGAATGTTGGTGAAGACATGAAGAAATCAGAAGCCTTGTGCTGGTGAAAAGGTAAAACACATGGAACACAGTATGTCAGTTCGCCAAAAAATCTACAATAGAATTACCATAAGATCCAGCGATTCCACTTTTGGATATAAATCTCAAAGTACTGAAAGCAGAGCCTCAAAAAGACATGTACATTCATGTTCACAGCAGTATTACTCACAATCACCAAAGATGAAAACTACCCAAGCGTTCAGACAGATGCATAAAGTATGGTATATACATACAAAGGGCTAATATTCAGCCTTAAAACAAAAATTATGATACGTGCTACAACATGGATGAACAATGAGGATATCTGTAAGTGAAAAAGTCAGTCACAAATGTACAAATACCTTATGATTCCACTCATACGAGTTAGACAAATTCAGACAGAAAGTAGTAGGATGGTGGTTGACAGATGCTGGAGAAGAGGAGAGGGGGAAATGGAAGTTACTATTAAATAGATACAAAGTTTCAATTTTACAAGGTGAAAAGAGTTCTCTGGATGTCTAGTGGTGATGGTAGCACAACAATGTAAAGTTACTGAATTATACACTCTAAAACTGTGAGGATGATAAAATTCGTTCTTTATTTTATCATCATAAAACAACTGAAAGTCATATTTCACTGATTGCACACAAATATCATTTGACCCTAAGCCCTGTGCAACCCTTCCTCGGGACGCTTTCGTATGTCATTTACTCCTGGCATGACCCAGGAGCAGACAGGGTCGGTAAAGGGAATAACCCAACTCCTAAGTGATTGCCTGGGAACCCAAACTCTTCCCAACTCCCAGGTCGGTGCCCTCTGCGTTACAGGTCGGTGTGAGACTCTCCACAATAACGCTGCCCTTCTTTGGGTTGCTGAGCTTGGGGAAGAGACAGAAGGCAGGCCTGGTGGCTAAGGGCTTTGGAAGGAAAGCGAGGAAGGACGAGCAAGTGGGTTGGCTGGATTCGGGGAGGCGGCTGGCTGGGAGAAAAGGCGGCGACCAACCACTGCTCACTCCCGCCCGCCCCGCTCAAACGCACGCGCGCCCGCCCGGAGCTGGGCTCGGCCCGGGTCAGAGGGCGCAGTCTGGGAGGCGGGCTGCCTTGGGATCCGTCCCAGGGTCGAAAGCCCTGCCACTGCGTACCCTTGATAATGAGGTGTGCTGAGCCCGCAGTCCCCAGCGAGTCCCTCTTCTTGCCGCCGCCGCCGCCGGGGGCGACCTCACAACCCACAAGGGTCTCTGTCCCTCCGCCACTCATCCCGACTGGCTCCGCCTACTTCGCTGCGCCTGCGCAAAACCATATGGTCCGCTTAGGAAGAGCGCGTAGGTGTTTTCGTCATCAAAAGGCGTCGGAGTTGCGTCTACTCAGTGGGCGGTTCCAAAAAGGGGCCTGGAAGGGTAGCTAGGGATGTACTGGCAGTACCGGGTGCCGCCATGTTGGACTAGGGCATATGCTTCTGGAATAGAAGGTGCCTGAAAGTTTGAGCGGAAAACTCTATTATCCCTCCCTGAAATCGCTGGGACTCGTTGTGTGTCAGGGACAGTGGTGTGCACTTACGGCCTAATTCTAATAGTAGTATATTTCTATATTATTATCTACCACCAATTTTTAGAAAACATTTTGGCATGCGCTGTCACATTTGGTAGGCATTCGGGGAAACCCCTACAATTTATAACAAACGAAGTAACAGGGTTAGAGGTTAAGAGACTTGCACAAGTTCCTTGTCAGACTCACTTATGCCCATGTGAAAAAAATTCTCTGGCTTTTGTATTTACAAAATTGCAACCATTTTTTTTTTTTAAATGGAGTAAGATAAAATATATATAATTATGGAAGGGACTGGTTTGCAAGGCTTCTTTGAATTGATGTAGTGAAGAGAAAACCACAGGATTGCCATGTGCCTGTCTTTTGCCATTTGATAAACTCCACAACGTCCATCTTGTCTTTTTAAAAAGTCTTCATGCTTTCCCAAGAACCACGTGCAACTTCCCAGGAGTTTCTTTACCTCCCATGTTATCCAGTGGTTCTAAGAATCATCTCTGCTCTCCCTGTTTCTTTCTACCATCTGCCTAAATAGTCCTGAACTTAAAAGGTCTCACAGTCTAGTGCTGAAGAAGGAAATATAACCCAACATTTTACAATAAAGGCCTTGTGAATAACTGATAGGATGGAGGAAAGTGCGGCATACATGCAGGATACCTGGGGTGAGGGGTCAGAAAAATTCCCAGAGGAGGCAAAGCTTGGTTCCCAGGCCTTAGCGGTAGGCATCAGGGATGGGGTGGGATGGGCAGGTGAAGAAGGAACTTGGGGTTTCCTAGCAGAAGACACAATAAGCCCAAACAGAAAAAATACAAAGCAGACGAATTAATCAACAAAATCTTAACTTAGTTAATTGGAAATAATTGGGTCTGACTTAAACATTCAGTTCTTACTTTCATTTCCTTACCTTTATTATCAATCTCTAAAGAGTGTAATTCTTTTTAACGTCATTTGGTATTCTCCACACTTAAGCACTTTCCTTAGTCAAGCTTTTTTTTTTTTTTTCCTGTTCATGTAAATATTTTTCTTTTCTTTTTCTTGTTTTTGGTACCAGGAATTGAACTCAGGGGTGCTTAACCACTGAGCCACATCCCCAGCCCTTTCTAATTCTTATTTAGAAACAGGGTCTCACTGAGTTGCTAAGTGTCTTGCTAAGTTGCTGAGGCTGGCTTTTGAACTTGGGATCCTCCTGCCTCAGCCTCTGCGCTGCAGGGATTACAGGCATGGGCCATCCCACCCAGCTGTTCCTATAAATCTAAATGACTTCTAAGCCTGTCTTCTTAGTGTCTTTGAACTACTGAAAAACCTGAGAAGGCTCACAATTGCACAGTAAGGATGGATGCTCCTCCTATGTTACTGTGGATGTTTTTAAAAAATGCAGATTTCATCTCCAAAGTTTGCCAATTGATTGTGTTATAAGTGATAAAAGAAATTCTGGCTGCATTAGTTTAAGACTTGAGAATCAACCAGAATTTGTTCAAACTCTAGCTCACCACATAGCTGCAGTTACTTTCTGTAAAATGGCAACAAAATATTTACCTTGTCAGGTTGTTGTGATGATTAAAGATGATAATACCTTTAAAGCAGTTAGTAAAATTCCTGGAACATAGTAAATAACCCCCAAATATTTTTACCTACAGTAACCTCCTCTGCCCGCTCTTAAAGTGCTAGATATTCTGCTTTAATTCTTTTTAATTTTTTTTTCTTTTTAGTTATACATGACAGTAGAATGTATTTTGACATATATACACATATGGAGTATAACTTCCATTCTTGTGGTTGTACTGATGTGGAGTCTCACTGGTCTTGAGTTCATATATGAACATAGGAAAGTTATGTTTGATTTATTTTACTGTCTTTCCTATTTCCATCTCCTTCCTTCCCTTCATTCCCCTTTGTCTAATCCAGTGAACTTCTATTCCCCCCAACCCCCACTTATTGTGAACCAGCATCCGAATATCAGAGAGAACATTCTGCCTTTGGTTTTTGGGGATTGGCTTATTTCACTTAGCATGATAGTCTCCAGTTCCATTCATTTACTGGCAAATACCATAATTTCATTCTTCTTTAGAGACGAGTAATATTCCATTGGGTATATGTACCACATTTTCTTTATCCATTCATCTGTTGAAGGGCACCTAGGTTGGTTCCTTAGCTTAGCTATTGTGAATTGCTGCTCCAATTCTTCTAATCAACCGTTATCACCCACCACTAAAATATCTTCTACTTGCTTAGCACTTAGAAATGTATAAAATGCTATCACATATCATATGCTATATATCTCCTAATCCTCTCATTAACCTCATAGAGAGTTTGAGGAGGATCAATTTCAGAACTCCCTCTGAAACCCAAATCGGTAAGTCCCTTATATAAAAGTTAATTTTTTATAGAAGCTATGCATATTCTCTGCATAGACTTTAAATCACCTACAGATGACTTATATACCCAACATGATGAAAACACTATATAAATAATTGTTACGGGCTGGGGCTGGGGCTCAGAGGTAGAGTGCTCGCCTGGCATGTGTGAGGCACTGGGTTCAATCCTCAGCACCACATAAAAAAAATAAAATAAAGGTTTTGTGTTCACCTACAACTAAAAAATACATATTTAAAAAAATTGTTATTCTGTATAGTTTAGGGAATAGCAACAAGGGAAAAAGTCTTCATATGTTCCAATACAACCATCATAGGCCTACCTACATGGAACATGTCAGTCATAATGTTAAAAGATACTTTCAATCCTGGTTGGTTGAATTCCCAGATGAAGAACCCATTGACTGGTAAGGAGGGCCATTCTCAGATGAGGAAACAGCAGGTCAAGGACAGTGGTAAAATCTCCAAAGATGATCATAGTGGTTCCTCCCCTCCCCGCACACAGGAAACATGCTGCTTGCTCTGTCAAGAGACAGGGCTCATGTTGCCTCCCCTTGAATCTGAACTGGCCTTGTCGCTTGCTTTGACCAACAGAACACAGTGGGAAAATGTCTGTGCCAGTTGATAGCTTTCCTCCCATGGAGAAGCACAGGAAGTGATGCTATGGCATGGAGAAGTCCTGTTAGTTGAGACCACACACACACACACACACACACACACACACACACACACAGAGGCTGCATGAGAGAGGAAGGAAGCAACCTGGCCCAGACATAAGAAGGAGACTTTCCTGAACCTGTCAACCCAGCCATCAGCCAGCTGAATGCAGTCACATAAGCCACGCGTGGTCCCAGAAATATACAGGTCAGCCAGCCCACCGTCATGGGAGAAATAAAAATCTTCGCTGGTTTCGTTCACTGTCATGCATATGTTCCTGGGACATTTTCTATTGGCATCACTTTTTAATCTCCTTTTTTCCTAACCTATTTTGGAAGAGGGTTAGAAAATTGAAAATGCAAAAACTGATGAAGGCAAGGGAGGGGAAAAGATGAGAGGGTCTCTTGGGGTAAGATGCTATCTATCACTGCATATGAATTCCCTGAAGTTTAGGAAGTCATGTGACACACTGGGCACCAACATCCCTTTGGTGTGGAGCAGTGCACTGTGAATTAGCATCAGTGGTCTTCCTCTACCAAATCCTGCTATTCCCCCAGAGATGCTTCTAGTGAAGACATCATTTGGAAAACACCTTCAGTGCCTTCCTGCTAGAGCTACCGAAGACAAACTGCTCCAGTGACAAGCGCCACCCCATTGGCAGGTGGAATGATTCAGCTGTGCAAAAAGCATGATCCTTGGATGCAGGCAGCCAGCTCCCAAGTCCACCGTGTCCTGAGCTCTAATAGGTGCAGCACAGGTGTTCTCATAGTGTGGACATCACATTAGAATCACCTGGGAATTTGTTAGAAATGCAAAATATCAGGTCCCACCCCAACATTCCTGAATCAGAAATTTAAATCAGAGGCCAGAAACCTGTTTGAAGAAGCCGCAGGTGATCGCCACGCATGCTAAAGGCTGAGACCCATTGCTTGCGTGCAGGATGTTGCCTACTCCCTAGACATCTGGTAATGACGGTTGAGCACAGTCATCCCCCTTATCCAGTTTGGCTCACCACTATCTCGGTAACCTGAGGTTGACTGCCTCTGAAAATAGTAAATGGGAAATTCCAGAAATAACCACATCTTAACTTCTAAACATTTTTCATTACAGTATAGTCATATTTTATTATTAGTTATTGGTAATCTCTTACTTGGCCTACTTTATAAATTAAACTATACTGTAGGTATAAATGTGTAGGAAAAAACAGTCTATGTAGGGTTTGGTACTGCCATAGTTTGGACCTGGAATGTCCCCAAAGGCCCATAAGCTAGTTCTCCAGAGTGGTGCTACTGGAGGTGACAGACTCTATAAGAGGTGGGGCCCAGTGGGAGGTCTTAGGTCACAGTGGTGTGCCCTCGAAGGGGATTGTGGGATGCTGGTCTCTTTCATCCTTTTGCTATAAGGTGAACAGCTTGCTCCACTGCATGTTCCTCACCATGATACGCTGCCTCACCACAGGCCTGAAAAGAATGGTCTGCTGGACTATGTACCGAACCTTCAAAATTCTGAGCCAAAATAAACCTTTCCTCTTTTTAAGTTGATTATCTCAGGTATTTTATTACAGTAACAAAAAGTTGATTAATATAACTACTATATGGGGTTTCAGGCATCCACTGAAAGTCTTAGAACATATCCTCCTTGCGTAAGTGGGGCTGCTGTGTGGAGTTCATTTACCTGAGGGAAATGGCTCAAGTCCAATCAGGAAAAGTCAGGAAC